CTTACATAGTGATCGTATTTATAAAAGTATGTTGGACTTAATGGATGATATATTTTAGTCATTTGCCATGTGCTTGGATGATCATTTTTGAGTAAATCTTTATTTATATTATGGTTTGAATCTATGACTACTCCTTGACTGACTACCACAAAGCAAGTAAACAATATAATCTGTAATAAAAAGAAATTTTTAAGTAGATTATTCCAAAAAACTTGAATATTGCAGAATTATAAATTAATTATATAGCTACCTTTCCAGACATCTTTAGAAGTTAGGAGGAACCGTCGCCTAACAAATATACTAGCAAACTGTTGAAAAAAGCAACTAGTATTAAGCATTTTATACTTTTTCCAATTCCTATTATATAAATTCGTTAAATCTTTAATATTGTGTTAAGATTACTTATTAGGAAAGAATGGTGTGGATATAGACTCGTTAAGTTTTGTATGCAAGAATGAGTTTGATCATATTTAAATGAAACACGCTTAAACAGATTAAAAATGCGTCTTTTTAGGGTTCCGTAGCCAAATGGCAAAAAACGGAAGAATGATAAAAGTAGAAAAAATATATGATGTACACTACCATGCAAACAACAACGGAAAATTAGTTTGAACAAGATCTAGTAATTAGTTTTTGTTTTAATACGTCATAAATCGTAAACCGCAATTTACCTTTCATTCAATCAACTCGTATTAAAAAAACATTTAATTTTATAAACATAAACCTTATGAATTAACAGTGAACCATTATTTTCTAATAATAAATCTGTAATAGGTGCCTAAGTAAATCATAATTATAATTCGCGCGGGGCATGGCTTCATCGGTAGCGGGTGTGAAGCGCGCGTAGGACAGGTTCCCGATTATAACATCTATCAAAGTTACAACGAACTACAAGAACTTTTATATTATGTTACTTGCTGTTATAGAACCCTTCATGGGCGAGTCCGACTCACACTTGGCCGCTTTTACTTCTTTTTAACGTTTCGCATTCTTTTCAGGCTGTGTTGTCAGAATTATGCAGACGCAGCCTGAAAAGGAAATGAAACGTCAAAAAGTAGGTAATAAAAAGGTGTGAACCCATCTAAGCGTGTTTCATTTAAATGAAAAAGTGTGCATGAAAACTTAAGAAACAAATTTGATCATATTTTTTTATTACCAAAACTAAATACTTATCAAAAATAAATAACTTGATATAGATTGTAATAACTTTAGTTAATAATAAAATAAAAATCGATAAAGTTGTTTATAATTTTTTTTTAAGCATTTAACAGCTGGATTTATAAATTTAAAGAAAAGTTAAAAATTAATTTTGTAAAATGTTCTTTAGATTATAAAATATTTGTTATAGAATGCAGTGAATATTTTAAACATAACAAAAGTAGTGGTGATTAAATTTCATGTGTTTTAGTGTCAGAATTATTGGATTGCCTTGCTTCATAATATTAAAAGAAACAACACTTAACTGTAAATGATAACAACATAATAAGTATTAATAGTATATAATAAGTTCATAAATGATAATAAGTGTAGTCAGTAGACTATCTTACAATTTTTAAAATAAAGGCTTTTTTATTTATTTTACTAGTGATTAGTAATATTCGAAAATAATATTTGTTTAGATAATTAAAGAAAATCTTTCGTTCTGTAGAGCGTATCCATGATAAGTTATCCGAAACCTTATAACAATTCATCGCAGCTATCATTTTAATCTCTCTATCTGAAAGAGGTATTGAGTACATTTTTCTGTTAAATCGAATTGGGGGACTGTGAACTTTTATGGAACAATGAGAGTCGTTCGATTCATATACGCTTGTATCAAAATGCCTTTGTTAAAATTAATTTATTAACTTTAAACGTTATCCAAGACTTATTCTGATTTGAATTAGGACAGCAAGGTGGCTAAGGTGACAGCATTTTCCTTATTACTTTTACCGAATGGGCCAAATTTGGTTTATTTTTACACCGTGAATTTTGAGTTTCCTTAGAAACTTATTATAAATACAAATTGTGAGAACAGTTATATACGGTAAGCGTTACACCTCGATACAATGATGCTGATTAATATTATTTACAAAATATTATAAAAAGGCGCAAATTTGTAAATACTATAACTATTATGAAATTATTTACCGTTTAAAGTACGTAGATCATTAAACAAGTTTTTTGCATCAATTTATGACAGATAAAACTGCTTAGATATCTAAATTGCAGAGTTATTAACTTAACGTAGCAACAGTATCGAAAAGAAAATATTCAAGATTTTTTGTGCCGTAAGCGATATCGTTGACTGAATAAGCTAGTAAGGTTTCTCAGGTAACTCAAAATTCACGATGAGACGAACTTCTTAGCAATCCATGGATTCACCGTGCGGGTGTTGCGTCCATCGTGTGGGAGAGAGAAACTCTGAGCAGTTCCCGAGACTTGCGACCCAGGTTTAGGTTTAAGGATTAAGATACGCATCAACGCTCACCTTCACTGCTCGAGTTTCCCGCCCTTCCTATTCAAATTTGATAGGAGCCTGGTAGTGCAGCCCGTTTAAATTTTTTAATTTCAGTTCTCGACAGGCCTAGGTCTTACAATTTTATTTATTGTAATGTTGTACGTTTAAGTTATCATGTTTGACTTGGCTTGGTGTCGCAAGTTATTTATTACAAGTAACTATTTGTTTATATTATGTGATATCTGTATATCACATAGAAACATAAACCAAAGATAATGTTTTTAGATATTTTTTAAGAAATACAGAATTTTATTAATTAAATACGTGTACATTGTTTATCGGTTATGTTTATTGAAACTAACAAAACTAAAATTATAATTTATTGAAACCTGTAAATAAGATTATTACTTCAACACCACACCACACCAGATCACATACGTATTCTTTATGTATAAGTTCAAAGTAAATTATTATCTGTGGCGACTTTGGTGTGATTCGCTAAATCTAAACTTAACAACTTCAGTTTCTCCTTTTCATTCTCTATAGAGAACGACAAGGATAAACGGTAAAAGTTGCTTTCAAGTTTTAACAATAAATAAGAGATTTATTATAATATCTTCATAAATAAACAATGACAGCGTCAATTCTTCCCCTAGTTCCCCTTTAGTAATTCCGTAAACAGTAATTTCACAAAAGAGATCGGATTCTGTGTCGTTATCATACGAGCCATCGGAACAATTCAATGGAATCGATGATTCCATTGTTAGATCAAGCTACGATGAAAGTATTTTAACCAAAAAAATATTACTGGTCTTTTATCTTTCTTAAGATAAAGGCACTTTAATTATGAAAATGAAAATAAAATGGAAGCATGCAGTATATACTCAATTGTTTTCCTTGTAAAAGGTAAGTGGAAAAATAAAAAACCGCATTCAATTATATTTAAAATAAAAAAATCATCTCAATCCGAGATGACGATAGCAACTTGTAATTTAATTTGCAAGATTTGACCCGTAAAAACGTTTGATATATTGCAAGTTAAATAAAAGTTAAAAAATTGCCAAGAAAATACCTTTTAAACTTAATAATTAATAAAATAACGACGGTAATACCAATCAAAGCTAAATTTTAATCTACGCGTCTAATAGGTATTTCATCAATTTTTCGTTTACAATGCTATATGTTTACAACAACAGATATACTAAGGAAGCCTCTGCCTGAAAGTTTGCTAAGGCTAAGTAAGTATATTTGATAATTGATTATACGTCATATTACGATTAATTATAAAAGTAAATGTAAAAAGGGAAAAATAACTCGATATAAAGTCTTCTGCCATAGATGAGCAAATCGATATTATAGCTTTATAACTTTTGTTAGAGTAAACAAACAGTATAGACTAATTAAATAAAATTGATTTGATTTTCAAAAATTTTAGGCTCCACTTTGACCATAGTTGTTAACTTTTTAAAACCTAATCACATTTAAGCACCATGCCATCTCTATTTGACTTAAAAAAAAATCAAAGATGGAATGACGAACTAAACATGATGAAGCCGTAATTAGAATGAAGTATATTATACTTACAAGTACAAGTGGGCCTGAATTAACTTGCAATGTATATATGTATTTTCGGGTCAAATCTCGCAACTGTATTTGAAAGCAGTTATCCTCAACCGTATGATTTTAAATGTTGCATACACGTTTTGCATATATGACAATACATCTTAATTTTAGATTAAATCATCGATTTAATCTAAGCAAAGTATGGTTATAGATATGTGGCGTCATTATAAGTCAAATATGGCGGGACGGCCACGCTTTTTTATCACATAAATGAAAAGTAACTTTTAAACAAATATATATTATTAATGGAAGTCAAATATTTATAACACTAGTACGAACGTGGAGTCTCTCAGGTTACTATATTCACATGCAACCCTTTTCTAGAAACTGATTCCGAACTGCGTCACAGCCCTATCTATATCCGAATATAGGTATCTAATAAGAAAAAATGTGTAATTCGAACCAACATTCTTCATTATTATTATAGAAAATTTGAAAAAATAACAATCATGGCGCTTTTTTTTTACTTTTCCGAGTTTTATATTTGAACCCATTAAAAGTAAATCAATTTTACACTAGAACAAAATAAAACTTTTTTCCACTAATTTAATATAGGAACGTTAAGAGAAAATTCAAAGCTCCTTCCGGAAATAAAAATTGAACAATTCTGACAACAGGTATAATATGTGTCATTTACTGGCAATCAGCACATAAAGGACGAGAACATTGAGGGCTTTGTGCCCTCAACTTTACTTGCTGCAACCCACAGAAACAGAAGTGATTATTTTATGCTTTTTCGTGGAGCATATTCTATAAGCTGTTCTGGTTCCTTGACTGATTTGTGGTATCTAGAAATATTCAGTAACCATATCTTTACCCTTTCGAGCTACATTTGACTTTAACTTGCTCGATAAAAGATCACGGCCAGCAATTATTGAATTATTAAATTCAAGAATTGCTAAATATTAATTAAATAATTCAATAATTGCTTGCTTGAACCAAATTTTTTCATTGAACTTGTAAAAAAAACTTCAAGAAATTACTTCATTCGATTTATTTAATATAAATAAATTAGATTTATATCACAAACTATAATACGTTAACTAGTGAACATTTAGTGGTGGTAGTACTGCAGGGGGGCGGCCTTGATGAGAGCAGGCGCGGCGGTAGGGGCGGTGTTGTGTACGACGGCATTGAACCCGTTGTGGTCGTCAGCGGTGTACTCCACGGTGCGCACGGAGCCGTCAGCCTCGTGGAACGAGTACGAGCCCTTCACCACATCACCATCGCGGGACTCTTGCTGGGACTTGTTGTCGCCGGTATGTCCATCAGCGATGGAATAGGTGTATTCGTATTTTGGGTAGGCCTGTACAGAAAGAACTAAATTAGTAATTTTGTTAAAAATATAAATTTAAAATTAGACGGCCTGTCTAGTAATGATATACGTACAATTTCTTCTTGGTGCGCAACGAGTTTGGCGACTGGAGCGGCGTGGTAGGCGACAGGGGCAGGGGCAGAGTGGTAGGCGATGGGAGCAGGGGCTGCATGGTAAGTGACCTGCGCGGGGGCAGAGTGGTACACGGGAGCGGCGACGGCGAGCTTAGCTACAGGAGCGACCAACTTAGAGGGTTGATCGTGTCGGACGATGCTCTGGGAAGACACAGCTGCGGCTGAAGAGTAGTGGACTGGCTCGGGAAGGAGTCCTGCCTGGGATACAGCCACCAGGGCACACAAAGCCAGAATCTGAAAAGAACAAAAAGTAATAATGAATTTATTATTAATAAAGCAATTTCCCAATTTTGAATTGTATTAATTAAGGGTGATTAAAATATCTACCCTGACTCACTTTTGAGAACATATTGTTACTTTCTTGTGTTTCGATTGTGAATGATTACTGTGACACCAAGGGCCCAGTTTTATACTTGAAATTTCGAGCAAGATTAGCGATGTTGGAAGGTAGTGGAAGTTGTCAAACTAGCTTCTGCCCCGACCTTGCTCCGGGTCAAAATAGTGTCACGAAGTGATCCGTTCACTGTTTCAGATATCGCTTATGAAACACAATGCTTATTACATAAAAAACGGCGAAGTGCGAGTCAGACACGCCCATGAAGGGTTCCGTAGCAGCAAGTAATATAATATAAAAGTTCTTGTTAGGGTTAGAAAATAATGGTTCGCGGTTTATGCATAAGGTTTATGTTTGTAAAATTAAATATTTTATTTCATTTTTGTATTTGAATTGATTGAATGAAAGGTAAATTGCCGTTTACGATTTATGACGTATTAAAAATAGAATTACTTACTAGATCTCGTTCAAAGCAATTTTCCGTGGAAGTTTGCATAATAATTATACAGCATATTTTTTTTTTGTTTTATCATTCTCTTATTTTAGAAGTAACAGGGGGTGGGTCACACATTTTAACACTTTGGAAGTGTCTCTTGCGCAAACAATGTTTAGAAAAAACTGACATTAGTAACCTCATAAACATTTTTGAAGACCTATCCATAGATACCCCATAGTATGGGTTTGATGAAAAAAAAAATGTTCGAGTTTCAGTTCTAAGTATGGGGAAACCCTCAAAATTTGTAGTTTTTTCATCCACTTACCAAGTCTCAACAGTATAGTTTCGGGAAAAAAGTGGCTGCGACATACGGACGGAAAGACAGACAGACATGATGAATCCATAAGGGTTCCATTTTTTGCCATTTGACTACTGAACCCTAAAACGACATAATGATATCTCCTTCAAAGTATAGCAAAGTAGTGAGTAAGTTTAAGTTGGAGAATAGTGCAAAGTTTACTACTTTTATGAATTTGGTCTGGTTACTAAGTAGTGTTTGATGAATTAGGCGAAGAATGCTTTAAGCACTAAGTCCGCCTTTTGCACCGTTGTTATAACCATATTTTGGTCAATAAAGTTTAAAATAAATAAATAAATAAGCTCGGCAAAAGAAAATTTATATGAACGAAAATTAGCAAGCTCCTTTTACTTACGTGAATGCAATTTTACGCAAACATGTAATTGCAGTGCGTAATCTAAGTAATTATAATGGCTAATTGTTAATTAATTTAACTTGATATATGATTACTATGACTAATACCTGCTCATCTAATTGCAGTAACCTATTAACATACATCTCAACATGCTTGATATCTTTATTGGTTTTATTGAAAAACTTTAGTAAATAGAATTAACCATGTTAGTATGTAGTTTCTTAAAATACAATATTAGCAAAGCTGTCTTTGATCCTTGTGGTAAATATTGCTATTAAAACTTTATAAAATTTTATAGAGTCAGATAATAAGCGCCACATGCTCCAGTTTTTTATTTCAAATTGTTCGGTTTTTAATATTGTGGGTTCATACAAATTATGGGTCGAGTAGGGTAAGTCCATCAATGCCTAGTTATAGCCAAGGCTTGTACCTATAGTACGCGGAAATTAATACTAAGAAGTACCGAGACAGAACTTTCTACTTTAAAATAAAATCATCAAACAACAACACTCATTCATTTGTTTTTTTTTCAATAATCAGCTTTCTGTTCGATAAGTTACCTCCCTGGTTGTCATGTATTGAAGTAAAAGATCGTTCTATTTTTAAATTACACGACCGATATGAGTTTACTATGTAGTTTATTCTACCGCTAAAACACGACCGATATTGATTTTCTTACAACTTTTGCCGGCCGCATACATGTAAGCGTATGTGACCGGTACACCAATTTATCTCGAAGAAGATTGTCACAATAATGCTCAAATTTCCAATTATTCTTGAGAAAAATCTTTATCCTTTTAGATGAAACTTCTTGCCAAGTGCTCTACAATAAGATGCTCCTAGTCATAATTATGATCACTTGGATCTCTTACGATTCTCCAAAGTTGACGGATTCGAGTGGTGTTATTCGTTCCTTCCTTTCAGTCGGATAACAAATAGTTGGTCGAAAAATGGTTTGCAAATTTTGAAGCGAGCAACTTAAAGCTTGTGTGAAGCATAAAAGTATTTAAAATACTAGCGGCCGCCCACAACTTCGTACGCGTGGAGTTAGTTAGAAATAAAGGTTCACTGCTCGTTACCCCTAGGTGATAGCGTGATAATATGTTGACCCGACTTCTTAGTAATATTCGTGCCAAATTTATAGTAAATCCATGCAGTACTTTTTGAGTTTATCAAGTTGCAAGAATGTTCATTTATTCCGTTCATCTCCTAGTGTGAGATGTTGGAAAGGTCTCTGAAACTTATTGGGGTTGATTGTGAAAACGATTTATTTAGGAATTAGTTTGTAAAAATTAAATATTTAACTTTGACTGAAAGTTTTGCTAGAGTCATATGCTGTCGATGGTGCCTCGAACGTCCGTATGCCGACTGGTTGTATGCCGGTGTGTTTCTACAGGTTATATTTCGGTGAGTTCGCGCAAGAAATATTCAAATTAATTCCGCCTGCACCTTTTAACCATTAGACTACGAGACAAAGACATGCTATTCATACGCACTTGGTTGACATTCCTCTTCTGCTTACACCACGATTCGCATCCTCCTTTATCATACAAACAGTTAGAAAATTGCATTCCCCTCCTGCGTCATTATTTGCCCATACAGTAATATAAAGGGATCTTCAAGTTATGTGTAAATAGGCATTATTTGAGATGGCGTGCTCCAGCTCAGACCACATCATTGCTTAACATCCGGTGTGCTTATAATCAGACGCACTCCTTTTTTTTTCATAAAAATGCTTGTGCATAAGCTATTAAAATTTACGTCGATGCTTGGATCAAAATAATTGACCTTTGACTAAAATTCCAGATTTCATTATTCCAGCCTCCCTAACAGCGCAGGGACTTTAGTTTTCTACAGGCTCTTTCATGGTGAGTGCTCCGAGGAATTGTTCCAGTTATACCTACAGCACCAATTCACCATCGCCCCACCCGTCACCGGAGTCGAGTTCACCCATATTACCCGGGAACACTGAAGTTCACAACTGTTCGTTTCGAGAGATCTTTTATTCTACGAACAATATAATAATAAGCTCCCCTTCCACGGTGTTTCCTCAGTACTATAACATGGTCTTCTTCATGTGAGGCTTAAACAGAGTGTTCCACGATAGGTAGCGGCATAGCTTTGTACATGGCAATGCTGATGTCCATTGGCGACGGGTAACATTTAACACTAGGCGGCCCGTCTGCTCGTTTGCCTTCGAAGAAAAAAAAAATAACAAATCTTCCTGGCGACACTTGGCGGTACCGGGCGCACATGCTCGTAAGCGCTAGCACCTAAATCCAGATGCTGTTCAGGATTGTTTGGGTTACGGTATAGATAACGGTTGTGGTTTACGCTTTGTGATATTATTATTATTTATTCCACACAATATAAACTGTATTGAATACATTACAAATACAAGAAAACAAATAAAAAATAGCAAGCACGGAACGCGTGGCAGGAGATTGGCTCATTCTGTTTTTATCCGACTGAATTATTAGAGATTTATATAACAAATGAGCATAATATATGTGTATATATTTTATATGAAAACCGCAAAATAAACAACATAAGATTTGAATAATAAAATACTAAAATAAAAAGTCAACTTTTAAATTAAAATTTATACTCCTTTGATGCATTTACTTTTAAGTATTTCATTTTTACCTTCTCCATTTTATTGTACTTTTGTATAATATACCTATTGATAATTCTCATTGCACGACTTTCAATCCTGCCTTATTTGAGAATGAAAATGAAAATAAAATTATTCGAATCACATTCGTGTATGTCTGATAAATTGGTACTCCTGATAATTATTTCGTATATATGTGAATTGGTTAGCTTCTGTTCGCATTGCGATTATATTACATAATTTGTAATTGTTGAATTGGACGGTGGCAAAAAATTAAGCGCATCACTCTAATTTGCTGCCTTTCACATTAAATGGAGGAACACTCATCCAATAGCCATTTTTATTAAGCACAACATCACGTGAGACCATTGAAATTTTATATGAAACACAACGAGAGGACAATATCAACAAGCTCACACAGCAAGGAACATTTAGCGCTGCTAAAAGCGAATTGGTTTGCACTACTGTATCGAAAAGGCTTTCGACAAGGAGGAGAGCGCAAAGAACCGTAAGTATGTGCATAGCCTGAAGGGATTGCCGCTCGATCGAAGTTTCCAGACCGACATCGGTCTTTTCCAAGTAATCTGAATATCCGCAGTGCTTCGGCTGCATCTGCAATTGTTAGCACCCAGCAATCTGCACTGGGTCCGCGAGATGGTCCAATTTCCCTGTTTCATACATAAGGAAGGCCTATGCACCAGCAGTGAGAATAATAATGATGATTGTTATTTGTGTTATATTATTTTGTAGCTAAGACCCAGAGCAGTAAAAAAAACACATTAAAAAGTTTTCCGCTAAAAATAATCGCATGGTTCATTTTCGGCCTTTTAAAAAATATTTTTTCATCATTTTGAAAGGCAGTTTCATCCGTATGGAAAGGTGCGTGGAATTGGAAGGGAATGTTTAGAAATCGAGGGTCAATTGATTAGGGAAGTGGAGATAGGAAAAAATACCAACAAATCGATCTTAATCGTATGTATATTACAATAAATAAATTAACAACTTCTTATTACATATTATTTGGGGTCTGGATTTAGTCTAGTGGTGGTAATACTGGAGGGCGGGGGCCTTGAGCAGCAGGGGGGCTGCCTTGATGAGGGCAGGTGCGGCGGTGGGGGCGGTGTTGTGTACGACGGCGTTGAACCCGCTGTGGTCGTCAGCGGTGTACTCCACGGTGCGCACGGAACCGTCAGCCTCGTGGAACGAGTACGAGCCCTTCACCACGTCGCCGTCGCGGGACTCCTGCTGGGACTTGTTGTCGCCGGTGTGACCGTCAGCCACAGAGTA